GATGTTAATAATACATTTCCCATTACACCTGCTAAAACATAAGTATGTCTGTTCCCTGACATGCAACTTTTAATTTAATTTTTTTTTTTTAATGGTATTGTCATCAAAGTCAGTTTAGTCAGTTATTACAGCGACCATGTGATCTCAGAGTGGTGCTGTTTGGCTGCAGAGAGCAACTGACTGACTGACCCTTTCCGAGCATGCGACCCACGTACCAAGGCTGAGTCCTCGCTAGGAATAGGAATCAAGAACCGGTTCCAAATTGTGCGATACATCAGAATCATATGCCTCCGAGCTTATCAATTCCTTTTAGTGATGCTGGCATGTTTTTCTGACAGTTGCGCATTGCAAATCGATGATATCAAACTCATGCATCTACGCTGCTGTAAACGAGTCGAGAGAAAGAAACAGAGCGTGGCTTCATTTCCCAAAGAAAGATGACAACAATGCTAGTTGTGATCTCTGTAAAATTATAATTTCAAGTAAGGGTGAAGACATCAGCAATATGCTGAAACATTTGTCTACACAATGGGCTTAACATTTCAGGAATGTCATGTATTTGACACTCTCGAGTGCCACTGCCTCCCAGCTGAGCAACACGTCTGTTACCGATGGGTAAATGTCCTATGTTATAACAACCTTAGCGCAGGCTATTTTTTTCTTTGACTAAGAAACCCTAAATGAAAATGAACGCTGTACAAATATTTTTATATTTCATCCATGTCAGATGATGACAGAAAATTGATCAGGAATCAATAAGGGAACTAATGAAGAATCTGAGAATTGATAATGTCATCAGTATCAATAAAATCCTATGAAATCCCTAGTCCTTGCTGCAGCAGCCCAGTTTCGTATGTAGCCGTTTGTCATCCCCTCTCTCTCCCCATTTCCTGTCTATCTTCAGCTACATTATAAAATGTAGCCAAAAAAGCCCAAAAAAACATAAACTAAAAATACAAAGACAACCTTAATATTTGCTCATAATGCACATCAACAGAATATAATGTTGTGTTTTCTAGCTGTGAACAGAACAAGATGGCATGAGGAAAGGGACAAAGAGGATGCTGAATCCTACTGTGCCACACAGACTGTTGACCACATATGTCGCTGTATGATTTGCAAAAGCATGAATGACATTGGACTGTCCGTGTAAACGAATCACGGTGAGCTCTCAGTGGTGGCATTGACTGTGTGGCCTGACCACTTGGCAAAAAGCTCGATGCCCTACAGCAGAGTCCAACACCAACAGCTAGCAGACAGACACTTAGTTTATTGTGTGATCTGTCTTTGTTTAGAGAAGACTGTGTCAAACCTCAATTTAAAGTGGTACTGAAACATTTCCTACCACTGGAGGATGAAGTGCATTTAGTGGGTAAACAAAAGATGAGTGTGATAAAAACACAAGGGTTAAAATCTCAGCAGCCACTGATTCGACCACAGACCCCCTCTGGACAAAAGGTAACAGACAGAAAAGCATTGAGACAATCGAGCAGGGAGAAAAAATACAGCACAGGCTAGCCAAGAAACACCCACTGCACATCCTGTGTCTACTGCCTTCTCCATCTTTCTCTGTTCGAGGCCAGGAGCCTGATTTCCTCTCATGCCTCCATCTCTGTCCCCCTGTCTGTCTTCTCCCATATGTTCCTCTCTCCTCTCTAGTGTAGAGAGGAAATATTTCACAGATACCATGAATGTGCGTATGCAGACTTCCCACCTCATTCCTTGGAGATATCGCACTTTTTGCCATACTGTGCCAAGCTGTCACACAGTAAATAAGCTAAGAGTTTTCCAATACGTATATTTGCATTTTAGGCCTTTCGCTAATGTTCACAATTTAATCGCTAACCTTCAGATCGGGTATTTTGTGGGAAATATAGAGGGGGAAAAAGGGAAAAAATTAAAAGAGCATTCATGTTCATGCCAGGCCTCAAGCAGAAGAAGGCTGAAGAAAGACAAGTAGAAAAGCATTGTTTTGAGGGATTACAATGAAATGTATTTAGAACAAAATAAAACACACACACACACACACACACACACACACACACACACAAGGGAAAGACTGAAACTGACTGAGGAGATAAACAATTCAAATGTTTTATGTTTCTTTCAGCCAATCAACAGACCTGTTTCAGGCAGTTGTCTAGCACGAGGAGTTGAAGCCAGCTGACCTGACAGAGATGCAGTGGAGCGTGGGAAATTTATTAAGGTTATCTAATTGTGAAAAGGTCAAAGTGGTGAGGGGAACAACACAATGTGGAAAAAAGGAAAAAGGAGAAGAAGACAGGACTTAAGGAACGATTCTGTGTAATCCTTTCTAAAAAATTAAAGCCCACTTGCAATTTTGATAACAGCATCTCAGTAGAGGTAGTCGGGGCTGATACCAGGATTGGTATTTGGGACAATCACAACTTTTTCATATCACTTGAATCCGTGTCAGCTATAAAACCCATTCCACATGTGATACGTAGCTTATTGTGGACACAGCAACTGTGAAAAATGCCAGTGGTAGAGCAGAAGAACAGAGGCAGCATCTTTTTTTAAAACGACACATAGTTGAAACGGAAACGGAGCAGAAATCCACACAGAGTCTGCAAACACAACCATCCTGTGACGTTTGACATTCTTCAGCTTCCACTGGCAAAGTGAACAGCACTGAATCAAGATTGTGGCAGATTTATCCACCTCTCACTGGAATCAAAAGACATTTATAAAGCAGTCAATTAATTTTCTTTTTCTCTAACTATGTGAGGGAGCCTATAGATTCTCTGGATGGACCAGTCCAGACTAGAAGTATTTGACAGAGTTAGAGAGTTGGTAGGAATACACTGTAAATTGGAACCTGAATATAAATGTTATCCAAAACAGCTGGCTTGATGTTTCTAGGTTGCATATTTTAGATAGTTGACTTTTCTAAGAACAAGATATTACTATAGCAACAGACAGCAAATACTGTAATAAATAAAATTGTAGTAGTGGGTGTAACCAAATGGTACGTGTCAAGTATCAAGAGATGTTTAACAGTGAAGTCCTTAGTTTAGGTATCAGTGCAAATTTAAATTTGTGCTCTGGATTAACTCTAAACCCTGCACATCCTTTCTAAATCCCCTCAGGTGAACTGGACATTTTCTTGGGACTTTCTTTGGCATGTATGGCAGCCTCTTTTCTACCTGAGCAGCTGGTCTGATCAGTCTGAATGAGTGAAAACACCAGAGGGGGTGTGCAGGGACCTCAACAAGATTAACCTATTTAATCTCTTGAAAATTTTACCTCCAAAAATACAACAAAACCTGACATACTTTAAATACACTGAAACATAAACAACTAAGTGTTTAACCATGTAGTAGAAAGAATTATACAATCTTACAGTCTGATATTACACATAACAATACATTAGGGGAACACACAACTCCAGCTTCTCTAATGGCCAATTCATCTCTGCAATGTCTCTCAGTTAAACATAAAAGATGAGGCTGCCAAACCTCATCCTCAATACTGGTATCCTACACATTAATATCACAACCCTGCACTGTATATAACCTACTATAGGCAGTACGTGATACAGGAGGATTTAGCTGCAGGGGAACAATGACACAACTGACTTACAGATACTAAAATTATGTATTTTCCATTCAAATCCATCTGTCTGACACTCTTTCAAACCTGGATTGAAGTAACGTTATGTATTTGGCACCTGAGAATTTAATACAAACCACAAGCAAAGCATCTGAGCCAAACAAACATTTGCTGCTCCTCATTAATTAAAGGAACATTAAATATTAGCACAGAAGCAAAGCTAGCCTCTTACCTTGGACCGGGTGTGTGCCGCTGTCCGTCATATTGAAGCGTCCACCATTAAACTCCAGGGCTATGGACCAAACTGGTCATGATAACGACTCGGCTCATATTATCATTATCATAGTTCACACTTTTAATGAAAAACGAGGCTCTTAAAGGTGAAAAAGGTCAGTTGAGTCCAACTGTTTGGGACTTCCAGGCTAACTTTAAGCTAGCAGTTAGCATTTGTCCGCTTTTAAATGAAGTGCCTCAGTAGATGTGCGGATTGTCTTCTGTCTTATTGTTGTTTCTTTATGTTTCTTTATTTATTTTTTTTTCTTTTACAACAAATGTGTCCGTTATGTCGCCCATTTCCACCCAACTTGGATTTTGTTTGTGCATTCCTGGTCCTCTGAAGTCTGTATTACAACCGCAAGGTTAGCTGGCTAGTTGATGCTAAGAGTGGCTGCGAAAATAAAAGCATTATTATGAGGAAAATATTGTTTTAAAAAAGGCTCTGAACACACCTCTTAAGAATTCATTTGTATCATGTCTTTTTTTTTTTTTTTTTTTTTGTAATTCAAATAATGCAATTTTATCTTTTTTTTTTCTTTTTTTCCACCCCCAAATACATCCACATACCTCTGCTCAGGACAAACCATAACACATTTCTGACCAGATGTGTTGACCACAGTGTCAGCCTCCCACTGATCCAAGCTACTGATGAACCAAAGTTTCCACTGTGTGGCTATTTTAGGAACCAGAAACAATCCTACAGGGGATAACAGGGTTTTCCACTGTGACCTCCCAGGTGGGGTTCGGGGGGAGAAAGGTCAAAGGGTTGCCACCCACTGTCAGTGGGACCAAAGTGAGGGAACCCCCAGACTCCATGTAATAACATAAACATCTTGGACTGCAAAGGGAATCCCCAATATGGATACTTCAATAGGAAAAAAGTGAAGTTAATGATTAACTGATTAACGAATGTAGTTAAAAAGTATATCATTTACAGTAATTGATTATAAATTGGACACCATGTATATTTTTTTGCAGAATGTGGCTAAAACCTCTCTCTGTATGTTTATGGTACCATCTTTGACAGGATCTCACAATAAAATGTGACTCTCATCTTCCTCCAACACTCTGGGCGATCGCTCCAACATTCCTTCCTGTTTGTCGTCATGGTGCCAGCAGGACAGCTCTGCTATATAAGGCCCTCCTCTCCAGAGTCCTGAGCCAGAACGACAAAGAGATCACAACTTTCTGCTACACCACAGCCAGACAGGAGGGAAGATTCAACCCTGAACCAAAGGACTCAAATCAACTCCAATACAGACAACTTAACACTTTTTAGACTGCAGATATTTTTGATTCTGCTCTACTTAACATGAAGATGACGAATCTGTCAGAAAGAGCTCTTTTTGTCTTCTTCTTGACAACACAGGTAGGCATTACAACTGGCTTATGTTGTGTTTTATATTGTAACACCGGGTAGTCTAGGTACTCTTGATATAAAGAGTTTCAAGATAATGACAATATTTAAAAAAAAGTTCTCAGTGTGGAAGTTCTTAGATTATTTTTCAGCCAATCATTTTAAGATTAGAAGACATAAAGACAGTGTTACTTTGTAATTTTCACAGATGAAACCAATTTTAATCACACCTCACTATATTATACCCTAATTTGCTTTAATTGATTAAAAGAAAACAACTTTTTAACCCCCATAAGTTTGTCTTTGTTTGCTATTCTGCTAATGCCAGCTTTTTTTTTTACAAGATATGGAAAAATATATTTTTTAATTAATTCAAACAATGTTTGCCAGCAATTACAATGTTTGTGTTCTATGACCATTTTATTTTTGTCACTAAAAATGATTTTTCCCAGTTGTCAAGAACTAGTCGTGTTGATTGGTTTAAAGGGAAATAGACTTGTAAGACATGTAAAACACACATTTTCTCTCCTACTCAGGTGTTTACGCTAGCCTTGTTCCAGGTGTGTCCTCGGAGATGCCAATGCCCCAAGGAGCCCCCCATGTGTCTCCCCGGGGTTCCCCTAATCCTGGATGACTGCGCCTGCTGCTTGGTGTGTGCCGGTCAGAAAGGGCAAGCGTGCTCTGAAATGAACCCCTGTGACACACGTAAAGGGCTGCAGTGTGAATATGCGGCCGACGTCCACAGGAGGACTGGCATCTGTGCCGGTGAGTGCGCCACGACACACAACACTGTATGCTGGATGTGCAACATATGGTAAATTCTCTGTTAGTTCTAAGGTGTAAAAACTTGTCTGTACTTTATCTCTTTCCTCCAGCTCACGAGGGAGATGTGTGTGTTTTGGACGGTTCCGTCTATCAGAATGGCCAGACCTTCTTCCCTAGCTGTAAGTTCCAGTGTATGTGCCGTGATGGGCAAATAGCCTGTGTGCCGCGCTGCAACGTGGACGTGATGCTGCCTGGGCCGGACTGCCCCATGCCACGCAGGGTCCAGGTGCCTGGAGAGTGCTGCGAGAAGTGGGTGTGTGAGCCCCAGGCTGAGGCCAGTGCGCTGGGCGGCTTTGCCATGGCGGGTAAGTTGACTGGAAGTAGTGTGAGATGGGATGAAATACATTCCTCTTTGACGTTAGTATCACTACAGTGTCAGACGCAAAGTTGAAAGGTTATGTACATTTCTCTGACCTGATCAGGGAAAGGGAGCAGGAACCAAGGAAGGGTGGATAGGAGAGGATAGAGTAAAGAAAGGAGGAGGAAGCACAAAGGAAAGAGACAGTGTTGTCACTCCAGTCTGGAATGTGAAACAGAAATGTGATACATCAGTTTGCTGTCAGAATCAAGGATTATGTAGCCTATATATTTCTCAGTTTCAATTTAAACTTTTATTTATCTACTTATTTTTACTAGAGGATGTGGAGATTTCTTCCTTCATGCTAACTCCTCTGTCCATCTGTTCATTCAGCCTATCGCCAGGAGGAAACAGTGAGCTTTGACAGTTGGGACCCCAGCCTGAATTGCATTGAGCAGACCACAGAGTGGGGCGCCTGCTCTCAAACCTGCGGCATGGGGTTGTCCAGCAGGGTCACCAATAAGAACCGTCGGTGTGAGATGGTGAAGCAGAGCCGACTGTGTATGATCAGACCCTGTGACGACCAGCAGGACCAGACGCTGATACCGCTTTCACCAAAGGTGGTTTTTGTTTTCTTTAAACAATATGGATGCTATATTATGTATACGTTTCTGCATTTGCTTAGATACCAATAGCATGGGAATACATCAGCTACTCTGTATACGGTATAGAGCCAGCAGGATTTTCTTCATAAAAATCACATAGAATGGCAGAGATATAGTACACATTCATTTAATGAATGGCTCTTTCTCTCCCCACAGAGAGGCAGTAAGTGCCAGAGGATGGTGAGGAGTGACACAGCCGTCCACCTCTCCTACAAGAACTGCACCAGCGTCCAGGCCTATAAGCCTCGCTACTGCGGCTCCTGCACAGACAGCCGCTGCTGTACCCCTCACAGAACCAAGACTGCCGTGGTGGAGTTCCAGTGTGCCAAAGGCAAAATCACCAAGAGGCCAGTCATGGTAATCTTGACCTGTGCCTGCCACAACCACTGCCCCCGAGACAACGCTGTGTGGCAGCCGTCAGAGCTGGGATACAGCGGCATGAGGTTATAGAGTCACTCTGAGATCATAATGAGCTTATAATGAACAGTAAGTGAAGATTGTATCTCATGACTGTGTCTGTAAAACCAGGAATTCGGCGTTGCATTAACTCCAAAATTTTGAATAAAACAAGACTGTCCACAGTATACAGTAAAATAGTCATAAAACTGTACAATCTATAGGCGTATAACTTGCAACATATCCACAGTACAAATAAGATTATATCTGCTTATTATGGTCAGAATCCTTGTATTCATAAAATGAGAGTCTACTGAGGTTGAGATTGTCTCTCTCCTGGCGAGGGATTTAATTGGGTTACATCCTGTGGACAAATAAGTGTCATCTTCACTATATTTAAGTAGAATCAAAGCACTTAAACCTTGATTCTCCCCACTTGTGACGATCAGGTAGAGCATGCTGCCAACCATTCACAACAGACGTTGGACAGTTGTTTGTGGGTGCTCGTACATACTTGGAGGAGATTGTATGGTAACTTAAAACAGCCTCTATTCAAGAGGTCAATTAGTATGAAGGTGTGCAGTCACAGGGTTGTGCAGACATACAGGAGTATCATTGTTGCTTGAAGCCTTCCAACCAGACGGTTTGAGTGACAGTTAGGGATGTTAGGCTAATCAGGCATGATTAAGAGTATTTTAGAAGAACATGAAACCACAGCGTGTTGTGTTCAGCCTAAATGATGTACGTCGTCTTTCAGAATAAATAAAAACACCTACTGTACTATGACATTTTCACACCTTAATCTGAGAAAAAACTATGAGAAGAGTATTTAAATCTCATCAATTAAAAATAGAAAGAGTGACAATAGGAAATAAAGGATTATAGGTTGAGCTGTTACCTTTTTCTGGCACTGCCATGGCAATTTTTCAACTATGGGACACATATTTGAAATAACTGGACTGTGTACTTTGACCTGGTCCGAACCAAAGGCTCAACGTATGAAAGAGAGCTCACTGTGGTGACTTAGTGTAATTTCTAACATCTGCCTGAAATCTTACCCCTGTTGTAAAATGGATAATGTCTACGTTCCCATCAATACATGCAAATGTATGGGGTTTTTCAGGTTTAAGAGGGATATTATTTTTGTTTTGTTTCGTTTTTTTGTTTATGGTAGTGCACATAAACAACAGCTATTTTTATAATGACAAAAGTTTTGTAAATACTTGCTGTATAGCTTGTTTCACTGAGTGTGTATGAAATACACAGCTTTAATCGGTAACAATGTAAACGTGGATTGTATATATTGGTATGTGGTATCGTTTTGCTAACTACTTGAATTATACTTCACTCTGCTTGTTCCTGTATCTGTCTGAATATAACTGCAAAACTCAACATTTGAAAATAAATTTGTATTTTTTGTACCAAGGTTTAAATCTCTTTATTATATCCAATACTAAATGCTTGTTTTCTTGATGCTGGTGGTGGGAAAAGAGCCTTAGGAAGTCATGTTACAGTCCAGGTACAATGAATTGTCTATAGAAGAGAAACTAAAGAATAAATGAGGAAGTAGTCTTCATGACTGTTGATGATGTTCAATAAACTTTGCAAAAAGCATGTGGTTTCTCGTTCAACCGGCTTCTCTGTCATTTGTGTGTGGCAAAGCATTGCCCTATATCACACTGTTATGTTATAAATGCTGTATTCATGTATGTGTTATGTAGATGTAGGTCAGTCTGTATGTCAAGTGTTACCTGATGTTAACAATATGGCTTCTTTACATTTATCACACATGGACACTTAACACCAAATATAAAATCGAAATAATAAGATCACAGCACCAGATATATTTATCAGAATAAAAATAAAATACAGATTTCCCTTCTAATCCCTTTCCCTAGAAATGAACACACACGTCATGAACGTTTTCACACATCTGTATTTGGGGTAGACCTCTCCCTCTGGATTCCCTTTTAACAGTCCAGGATGTTCATGTTATCATATGGGACCCAGGAGTTACCAAACTGTCCAGATCCCACTGACAGTGGGTGGTGACCCTTTGACCTCTCTCCCTGATCCTACCAGGAAGGTCACAGTGGAAAACCTTGTTATCCCCTGTAGGATTGCTATTGCTCCCTAAAATAGCTTCACAGTGGAAACTTTAGCACATCAGAAGTTTTGGATCAGTGGGGGTCCAACACTGTGGTCGACACATCTGGTTGCAGCTATGTTTTGGTGTCTGTTGAGCAGAGGTGTGTGGTAATGTTACATGTCGGTTATGTTTGTGGATCTAGGATCTGGAGCTCATTCTACTTTTGAATTCTCTTTACATGCAGTATGTTAAGATTTAAGAGTTTTCATTAGTGGCATACCCCATTAAATAGCAATGTTTGTCTGTATGTTTGTCGTCCTTTAGTCCAGACTGAAATATTAGTATATTAGTGTAAGTATTCAATGTAATTAAAATAAGTAAAACTATGTACAGACAGTAATGGTCTTCAGAAGATTAATCCTACCAACTTTGGTGATCCTGTGACTTGTCATGTACTGCCACCATGAGGTTGACCTTTTGTGGGTTTGAGTGAAATGTCTCAACTATAGGATAGATTGTCATTAAAACTGGTACAGACCATAGAGTGTATACAGACTTTCATGTCTCCCTTCAGGTTGAGGTGTAATAAAGTTAAATGCTTCAGTCTGCTAAACATGTTAGTATTCTCATTGTGGGTTAGCATGCTGATGTTAGCATTTAGTAGAAAGCACAGCTGTGCAGTGCAGACTCACAGTGTGTTCCAATGCTACATACTGTGTAGATTTATTATTGTTTCCCTCTGTGTTTGTATTTCAGTCTAAATATGAGGATCTCAATAAATCCTTAAATACTAATGCATCCAAGTGGCAAAGTAAACCTGATACTGAATCAAGATACATTTTGGTTTGTCTAATGCATTGTTCCTCTTTGCATTATTCTCATTATTCTCTTTGAGAGGAAAACAGGCCTTATGATGAGATTCACACAGTGCGAGTGTGCGTGTTGAGAACTGTTTACTCAACTGGTTAGCTGACAGTATCTCTTAGTGAGAGGCTGAATAGTTGATTACTTAACTGAATGACAAACTGAGTGCTGGACTGCCTGGATGAGTGGTTGACTGATGGAGCTATAAAATATTAGAACAGCTGAGCAAGCAGCAGTTCAAAGTTCCCGACTGAAGTGTTTTCAGTATTTTTTTTTTATTTTTGATGCCTCCCTGTTTGAGTTATGGGATGTTGCGTATGAGACAGAATCCTGTGCAGACCAGACCTGGCAGGTTTCTTCAGACATATTATAACACTTACTTTATCTATTGAACTACTGTGAAAGAATATTAAACCTGTTTTTTAGGTATAAGTGGAATTGTGAAATCATATCATTGCGGTTAGTGGTGGAACTACTATGAATAAAGTCTTGATTCAATGCTGCTCATAGCCTGCTTGTGTTTACTGATATATAGATATCTGACTGATAAAAGTGTAAAACATATTGTAATTATAATTGTGTAAATTCCTTAATTTAAGAAATAAGTGTAATGTAAAAACACAATCAATGTAGAGACATCTCCATTCATAGCAGCAGGTCTTGAGGTGTCCAGTATTTGCATCTTAAAGGACCAGTGTGTGTGTGTGTGTGTGTGTGTGTGTGTGTGTGTGTGTGTGTGTGTGTGTGTGTGTGTGTGTGTGTGTGTGTCTGTGTGTTTGTGTGTTTGTGTGTAGGATTTAGTGGCATCTAGTTGTGAAATTGCAGATTGCAACCAAAGGAAACCCCTTTACTCAACCAAGTGTGAAGGAGAACCTACAGTGGCTGCAAAACGCGTGACAGGAGTTATCTAGAGCGTTTCGTTTGTCTGGCTACTGTAGAAACATGATGGTGCATCATGGTAGAGGAGGACCCACTCCCTCTGTAGATCAAAATGGGTCATTCTAAGGTAACAAACAATTCTTATTTTGGTGATACACTGATAAAAACATACCTATGGATATTATATTCCATTTCTGCTAATAGATCCTCCTAAATGTTACACACTGGACCTTTAATTTCCCCCAAGTACCCTAAATACAGACACCAAGGTTATGGTATTATAAGGTATTATATGGTAAGCCTGTTAGTTCTGTCAGATAATTTAAAGCCCCCATTTTTTACTCAACTATATACCAATGGATCCTGTCATGAATGAGCTGAAGGGGGTCATGAGTGGTTGTTTATGGCAGTGCATCCAAGATAAAGCTCTTCTCTTATACTTAGGACAGTTTGTAACCTGATACATGTAATTATACAGTCTCCAGGCCATATCACATGTTCAGTATATAGTCAGACTACATAAAAACCTAAAATGCAGTAGTTCAGTGGCTAAAAGTAAATATTTCTTCTGTCTAAACTTTAAACTAAAATACTCAGATCTTGTACTTATATTATGTAAAAGTGACAATACCACAGAGTACAAATAAACAAATATAAGTTTATTATTTACACAAGTACAAAAGTATATCAAAATACACATGGAATAGAAACAGGCTTGACAAGAACCTCCAGTCAGATATTTCACAGAAACTGATCCTCAGGCAGGAAAGAGCTGGCTGTGGCCTTATCTAGATGAGTTTGGGACTGGAAGACTGCTTCTGCAAGTGCAGCCCCAACTTATTCAAGGCTATTGTTGAATTTATATGATCAATGTAATAACCAATAATAATACTAAAACACAGGTAAAAACAAAATAAACATACAACTTTATCTCAGACAAATATCAAAAACCCTTTACAGAGGAAGAAAGTAATCATTTACAGTTAAACTGGGCTTAAGTCTACAGTCTACAGATGTATTGGCTCTGTTTTCTAAAATATCCAGGACGTTGGCTTATCATGATAACATTTTACAGATTTGATCAGAATGGTTTCCAACTGTGTGATGATGTGATGTTTAATTTGAACATATCCAAATCAGAAAAATTAAAAATAATAATAATAATATATGTAGCTTTTGTTCAGAGCTGACTTCCTCTGTAGGTCTGTAGTAAAGGAAAATTCTCTCTTGGAATTTGCAGCCAGTAAAAGTGTAGATCATGGTCGCAGTGTCTGCATCACAGATGGACACCAATCCACTGTCATAGTCTACAAACACCATGACTCTCTCAGGTTTCCTTGATAAGAAGACGTTATCAGGGACATTATGTAGAGCTTTGCAGTTGGTGTTATTCTCCAATCTTATGATCCAGCTCCCATTCCTGGTGTTGGGTTTGAATGTCCTCTTTCGAAGAACCGACTCTCTAACTACTCCTAAATCCCAGCCGGTCCTCCCTTTGACCTCAACCTTATAGTAGAATCTCCCTTCAGAAAAGCCCAGGTCCCCAGGAAGAAAGAAATATCTATGGAATGGGTGTAGCCTTTCATTGTGAAAACACCATAAGTGGGGAGCCTGCATTAGAATAGACTCCACACCGCAGATGTTGAAGTTGTTGCCAAGGCAGCAGTCACATGGCACGTGTCCTGGTTTGATTGGCTGATTATTGTCAGCTATCGCACGATGTTTCTTGAAATTCTCTACAACCTCCCTGAATCCGGTGTTGACATGGAGTTTGAGCCCTTTGTTGAACTTCTCGTTGCACAGTGGACACTGACATTGCTCTTTGCCTTCCCAGTGCCTGGTGATACAGGCCTGGCAGAAGTTGTGTCCACATGGTATAGAAACAGGCTCAGTGAAAACATCGAGACAGATGGAGCACAAAAACGGATCCTCAGACAGGAAAGGGCTGGCTGTGGCCATATCTACAACGACAACAACAAAGAACATAGCAGAGTTCATTTTAGTAAAAAGATCAGAAAGTGACCGGCATGACTCTTGATGCTGTGAACTGAAGTTTCTAAAAAATAGGTAATAACTATTTACCAAATAAACATAATTAACAGAAGGCATACCTGGATCTGGATTAATGCATAAAAGGTGTTCATTATATGTAATACATTACGTAGTTATGGATATTCTACAATATCAGGACATTGGCTTATCAGGATAACATTTTATGTTTATCATATAAATAAAGTTGAACTTCACCTTCTTGAATGCGGATGCTGAGCTCTGCTGTCACCTCTACACAAACAAACTGAACTTCCTGCACAGCCACTGTGGTGACTTTCATTTCTCTGTAAATGATGCAATGATGCCTCCTCCCCTGATTCATATACCACCCATCTGCTCTCACAAAAAATCAACCCTTTAATTAACAGTTGTCAAACTAACTATGTCATGAAATTAATTGAGTTTGAGCACAGATTCTGATCATAAAGAACCCTTAATTACTACTTCTTGGTATCACCTTAGTTAGTTTTGTGTGTCACAGTGCAGTTAACTGCTTAAATTAATTAAGTGAATTAAACTAAAAAACTAAAAGGAAATCCATCTCTGAACCAAGTCAGCTTGTGTGAAAAGATTTGTAAAGTCTTAACTCTTAAAGGGTTAACTTGAAAGGGGTATTTGAGTGCGTCTGCCACTGAAATGAATCACTCAACAAATATTTTATCTTCTGCAAAACAGTTTAGCTTCTATGTTTACCTTCAAGATAGAAGTATGAATGTTTCTAACCTGCACTGTTTAACATTGTTAATATGATCACTTCATTTTTATTGTTGAACATGAGAGCTTACATACTTATTCAGCTAAAAAAAACATGAACATTTTCACTTGATGAATCAACAATGTTTGATTACTTTGGGTCATGCATTACCTAATAATGGATTATAAAGCTGAAGCTACCTATTGTATTTCAGCCGCTTCTTATTTTACTGCTGCCTGCATGCCCATGATTTCAGATCTTGGTGATTTTTAATTTCAACGTCAAATACCATTTAACCACTAATACACAACAGAAATGGAAAGTATTTCAAGAAGTCTAATGATGCCAGCAGTAGCTGTAACCAAGCTGCCAAACCAATGGAGGATGAGTGTGATATTTGCTCTGATGTGGAGCTCAAAGTCCTGAATACCAAATTCAGGACTTTGGCTTCTTACTGTGAGACTAGAGTCAAAAATGTCTAAAACATTGTGTGAGTATTGTTAATTATTCCTATGATTATGAGGGGTGAAAGATTGTAGTTGTAAATACTTCCACTAATACATTTTCATTAAAAAATTTATTTTATACTTTTGGATATAAAATTAGCCTTACTTTGCACACATTAGGTTTATGGCATTTAAAGCTGCTGAGGCATTATTGCATTAAGTGGGAAAGTATGGCACTGTTGTCAGTCAACCTGTCATTTGTCTGTCATTCCCTCTCTCTCCTGCAGTAGTCTCCAGTGTTTCCAACCATTCAACACCACCTGACTTCCACACCTATATCTATAAATACACCTGCCCCTTCTGATGTGCTGTTTGTCTTTATTCCATTTTTATACTTGCTAAACCTATATGTTTTACTGAGCAATATCTTATGTTTGCCTTATTCCCTTTTCCTGTAAATGCCTGCTGTCTAAAATCACCTTTAAATCTTGAAAGAACAAATAATATGGTGGTGCAGAACAGTGAAGCAAAAGATTTTTCTTTGTGTACTTAATGCGCAGGCCAGTGAAAGGTAATATGTGAGAAATGTTATTCAGTAACAGGGTAAACAAAAAGAGCAAGTAAGCAATACCCAATAAATCCTCCTAAATGTTACACACTGGACCTTTAATTTCCCCCCAATACCCCAAATAAAGACACCAAGGTTATGGTATTATAAGGTATTATATGGTAAGCCTGTTAGTTCTGTCAGATATTTTAAAGATTTTATTTTTTTACTTAACTATATACCCATGGACTTGATCCTATCATGAATGAGCTGAAGGGGGTCATGAGTGTTTGTAACAAGGTTCATGGCAGTGCATCCAAGATAAAGCTCTTCTCTTATACTTAGGACAGTTTGTAACCTGATATATGTAATTATACAGTCTCCAGGCCATATCACATTTTAAGTATATAGTCAGACTACATAAAAACCTAAAATGCAGTAGTTCAGTGGCTAAAAGTAAATATTTCTTCTGTCTAAACTTTAAACTAAAATACTCAGATCTTGTACTTATATTATGTAAAAGTGACCATACCACAGTGTACAAATAAACAAATATAAGTTTATTATTTACACAAGTGCAAAAGTATATCAAAATATACTTAAAGTACAAAATGTAAACGTACTTATTATGCAGAATGACCCATTTAACGACAATGTACTGTATACCATATTATTGAATTATAATTATTGATGCATTCAGGCGAGCATTGCTTTAATGTTGAAGCTGGTAACGGTAGTTTACTCTGAACTTTATATAGTCTGCTGGGTAGCTTGTGAATGTCCCCCCAAAGATCAATAAAGTTTTATCTTAATTTATAATATGACATCATAATTTATTTGGTAATATTTTGTATTATTAAACTAAAGCTGAAAAGTTATTAAAATTGTCAAATAATATACAATATTTAGAAGCAGTATAAAATAGCAGCAAAACCTCAAAAACTTCAAAATTATACCTACAGTATTTGAGTAAATTTAGTTACTTTCCACCACTGCCAAACTGACATGTTTTATCTCTTGAGTGTGGGTCACTGTTTGTATGACGGGTGAGTAGATTACTCCCTCTAGTGGTGTTTTTGAATAAAGCTTCTGTCACCATCTTTACTACAATTATCTTAAATGTATGTAACATAAACTCATCTAACTCCAACACTGTAGGTAGAGTAAACATTCTGATACCAGCTAGAAAGGTACATACACAGTGATACATAGAAAAGTAAAAACTTTATGTAGATTCATCTTTTATATCAAAGACTGAAAAAACAAAACAAGCATACAAAGTCATAATTACAACTTTTTGTTACACATAATTGAGAGACAAATAAATGGTAAATAGACTGCACTTCTATAGCACCTTTCTTGTCTTCCGACCACTCAAAGCACTTTATACCACATGCCACATTCACCCATTCACTTACATTCATAGAGTGATAGCAAAGGCTCATCACAAACAGAAACTGATCCTCAGGCAGGAAAGAGCTGGCTGTGGCCTTATCTAGATGAGTTTGGGACTGGAAGACTGCTTCTGCAAGTGCATCCCCAACTTATTCAGGGCTATTGTTGAATTTATATGATCAATGTAATAACCAATAATAATACTAAAACACAGGTAAAAACAAAATAAACATACAACTGTATCTCAGACAAATATCAAAAACCCTTTACAGAGGAAGAAAGTAATCATTTCCAGTTAAACTGAGCTTAAGTCTACAGTCTACAGATGTATTGGCTCTGTTTTCTAAAATATCCAGTACGTTGGCTTATCATGATAACATTTTACAGATTTGATCAGAATGGTTTCTAACTTAAAAGATGATGTGATGTTTAATTTGAATATATCCAAATCAGAAAAATTAAAAATAAGAATATTAATAAATTTAGCTTTTGTTCAGAGCTGACTTCCTCTGTGGGTCTGTAGTAAAGGAAAATTCTCTCTTGGAATTTGCAGCCAGTAAAAGTGTAGATCATGGTCGCAGTGTCTGCATCACAGATGGACACCAATCCACTGTCATAGTCTACAAACACCATGACTCTCTCAAGTTTCTTTGACAAGAAGAAGTTAAAAGGGACATTATGTAGAGCCTTGCAGTTGGTGTTATTCTCCAACCTCATGATCCAGCTCCCATTCCTGGTGTTGGGTGTGAATGTCCTCTTCCGAAGAACCGACTCTCTAACTACTCCTAAATCCCAGCCGGTCCTCCCTTTGACCTCAACCATATAGTAGAATCTCCCTTCAGAAAAGCCCAGGTACCCAGGAAGAAAGAAATATCTATGGAATGGGTGTAGCCCTTCAGTGTGAAAACACCATAAGTGAGGAAACTCCACACTGTATTCTACCTCTTCATCTACACCTTCCCTCTCAGTCTGCACTGAAACTTTTGGCTTCTTGCCCTTCTTACCACGCTTGGATTTGATTTCCTGTACTTCTGCTTTTTTCTTCTTCATCTGAGCCCTCTTGTCAACGTACGGCTCCTCTAAAGGGACTGTATCATGAGTGCTATGCTCTGTACACAGCACACAAACTCGTGTCAGGTCATTCCTGCAGAAGAGCTCTAAAATCCTGTTGTGTTTCTTGCATATTTTGTCCTCCAGGTTATGCACAGGATTAGTCAGTTTGTGTCTCTTTAATGCAGCAACTCTCTGATGAGGCTCTAGGTGTGTCTCACAGTAGGAAGTCAAACACACCAAACATGTTTTTGAGGCTTTGAACTTTTTGCCAAGGCAGCAGTCACATGGCACTTGTCCTGGTTTGATTGGCTGATTATTGTCAGCTATCACATGATGTTTCTTAAAATTCTCTACAACCTCCCTGAATCCGGTGTTGACACGAAGTTTGAGCCCTTTGTTGAACTTCTCATTGCACAGTGGACACTGACATTGCTCTTTGCCTTCCCAGTGCCTGGTGATACAGGCCTTGCAGAAGTTGTGTCCACATGGTATAGAAACAGGCTCGGTGAAAACATCGAGACAGATGGAGCACAAAAACTGATCCTCAGACAGGAAAGGGCTGGCTGTGGCCATATCTACAACGACAACAACAAAGAACATAGCAGAGTTCATTTTAGATTTCTGGTGGTAAAAAAGTTCAAAAAGTGACCGGCATGACTCTCTTGATGCTGTGAATTGAAGTTTCATAAAAATGCCTAATAAATAGGTAATAACTATTTACCAAATAACCATAATAACATAAGGCATACCTGGATCTGGATGAATGCATAAAAGCTGTTCATTATATGTAATACATTACATGTATTCTACAATACCAGAATATTTATCATATAAATATAGTTAAACTTCACCTTATTGAATGTGGATGCTGAGCTCTGCTGTCTCTCTTTGTATGCAAACAAACTGAACTTCCTGCACAGCCACTGTGGTAACTTTCATTTCTATGTAAATCATGCAGTGACGCCTACTCCCCTGATTCATACTCCACCCATCCACTCTTACAACACATTAACCCTTTAATTAACAGTTGTCAAACTAACTATGTCATGAAATTAAATGAGTTTGAGCACAGATTCTGATCATAAAGAACCCTTAATTACTACTTCCTAGTATCAGCTTAGTTAGTTTTGTGTGTCAAAGTGCAGTTAACTGCTTAAATTAATTAAGTGAATTAAACTCAAACACTAAAAGGAAATCCATCTCTGAACCAAGTCAGCTTGTGTGAAAAGATTTGTAAAGTCTTCACTCTTAAAGGGTTAACTTGAAAGGGGTATTTGAGTGTGTCTGCCACTGAAATGAATCACTCAACAAATATTTTATCTTCTGCAAAACAGTTTAGCTTCTATGTTTACCTTCAAGATAGAAGTATGAATGTTTCTAACCTGCACTGTTTAACATTGTTAATATGATCACTTCATTTTTATTGTTGAACATGAGAGCTTACATACTTATTCAGCTAAAAAAACCCTGAACATTTTCACTTGATGAATCAACAATGTTTGATTACTTTGGGTCATGCATTACCTAATAATGGATTATAAAGCTGAAGCTACGTATTGTATTTCAGCCGCTTCTTATTTTACTGCTGCCTGCATGCCCATGATTTCAGATCTTAGAGATTTTGTCCTTTTAATTTTAATGTCAAATACCATTTAACCAATAATACACAACAGAAATGGAAAGTATTTCAAGAAGTCTAATGATGCCAGCAGTAGCTGTAACCAAGCTGCCAAACCAATGGAGGATGAGTGTGATATTTGCTCTGATGTGGAGCTCAAAGTCCTAAATACCAAATTCAGGACTTTGGCTTCTTACTGTGAGACTAGAGTCAAAAATGTCTAAAACATTGTGTAAGTATTGTTAATTATTCCTATGATTATGAGGGGTGAAAGATTGTAGTTGTAAATACTTCCACTAATACATTTTCATTAAATAATTTATTTTATACTTTTGGATACAAAATGAGCCTTACTTTGCACACATTAGGTTTATGGCATTTAAAGCTGCTGAGGCATTATTGCATTAAGTGGGAAAGTATGGCACTGTTGTCAGTCAGCCTGTCATTTGTCTGTCATTCCCTCTCTCTCCTGCAGTAGTCTCCAGTGTTTCCAACCATTCAACACCACCTGACTTCCACACCTATATCTATAAATACACCTGCCCCTTCTGATGTGCTGTTTGTCTTTATTCCATTTTTATACTTGCTAAACCTATATGTTTTACTGAGCAATATCTTATGTTTGCCTTATTCCCTTTTCCTGTAAATGCCTGCTGTCTAAAATCACCTTTAAATCTTGAAAGAACAAATAATATGGTGGAAAGAGGGGAGAAAATCAGGAGAGGAAAGAACATTATGTGAGGGGAAAGTAATAAAGGAGGAGGGATTAAAGATCTGCATTATGTTTTTCTTAAAGCATAACAAAATTGGGTCCCAACATTTTAGTTAACCTTTGCCATATTTTAAGCTTGAATCTCCTTGTAACACAAGTGCACTGCAGTGCTCTTGGGCATGGCACTTACCGCTCCTAATTACTCCAGAAAGCCAGTTTATACACCAACAAACCCTCTGTGTGACTGTGTGTCTGCAGCTGCTCCCTGTTGCAATGGAAAAATAAAGTGCGTAGAGCTGACTGAGGATTAAAAAAAAGATGAATTAACAACCTTTAAATACAATCACCTTTAATAAGACTGCGTTCTCTGTTTGTTTGTTTGTTTTCAAGGTCATTACCACAACAAAGAATGCACATTCCATCTGATAGCTCATTTCCATATAAAAGTAAAAATCAATTGTAGCTCCTATGCCTCATTAAGCCAAAATATTATTAGTATTTCTGTTTCCGTCTCTTTCTCAAAATAAATAAATGAATCCCCTCTTTGGTGCAGTTCAGTAGTAATGAGCCAATGTAGTTTAGAGGGCGGGCAAATGTGGAAGCTTGGCTCCTAGATTGTACAGCCTGAACTATATATATCTGTGATTACATAATTTGATTAATTATGACACATAGACTGAAATATATTAAATAATGACGTCAGATAATGCCCTTAATTCTCATAATATTCACACATATCCTTTAATATAAGTTAAAATATAGAAACACTCTCAATCCTTTAATTTAAATGAATTCTAATAAACTCATAATCATAAACTGACTATACAATCACTAAACAATAGCGCACATAAGCTATTGGTCAGTGTAAGAGAAAAAACATGGGTACTTTTTGCTTTAAATTAGCCTGCAAAGCTTCTAACTCGGCTGTGTACTATTTAGTTTTAACTCATGCAATTTATTTAAATTCACGAATGTTCCATAAAATACATTAACCTGTGCATCTTTATAAAAAAATCAGTAAATGAAAACATTATTGTGCATTTAAATAAATTACAGTTTGTGTCAGTGTTTTCAAATTTGAAGACATTAAGTGTGTTTCTGTTGTGTTAAATATAGAATAGAATAATCTTTATTGTGCTAGTGCAGGAAACGTGTCTCTAAATCACCAATAAAAAAATACCAACACAAAATGAATAAAATAACACAATAAAAACAACACACATCACAAATCATCATCAATATAAGTGCAACATTTCCCAGGTTGAAGGTATTTGAGTGTAGTTTGTTCATTATTTTGGACTCACTTCCTGTGGTTTTACTGTTAAGCCATGAAATCTGAATCCTCACAGACCGGCTAAAATCTATTTTAAAGTGTTGCCAGTAGGTGTCGTGGCTACATCGCTAATAGTTGAGTAGGTTTCCCTCAGCCATTTGTTACTGTATAGGATGCCTTGCTCCAGAGTGACAGCTGTTAAAAGAAAATGCGTATTTATAGATCTAAGTGTTGCTACATCCAAAGAAACTGAAACTTCTATGCACTTCAAGTCCTCATTGAAATCCACAGCAGCTGTTGAGGTATTTTTTCCCCCTAATATCATCATGTCCTGGTGGCTGATTGAAGCTGCCTCATTTGTCTCCATCCTCTCCCGGCATCACTGTCAGTCACTCGCTGGGCTTCAACCCGCGTCACCCCTGTAAAGGTCAAGACACCCAGCGGCTCCAGTCATTATCAGCGGTTGCACCCTCACTTATGTGAACCATCAGGAGCCTGTAGTGATTGACAGGGCATGGGGACATCCTTTGGAATAATAATAATGGAGATGGAGAGCAGCGCCTCAGAGGGGGGTCTTTCCATGTCACAGCCCCATAACAAACCCCTCTCTTTCTTTTTCTGTCTTTGAACCATCAAAACAGGCACAGGCACATTCCTGTACGCGCGTAACCGCTCTCACGTCTGCAACGTGAACGCGCTTAAGTACAACAGAGTTGGACTCCTCACTGGACATTTGAAGACTGGAAACTCAGTTCTTGTCATATTTGAGATGAGGCTATTTATTTAAACATAATTAAAATAGATGCCCAGTCACTTCTTCAGCTCCATGATGGCTCACAGACCCCATTTATGGTTTTATTCACGAAATAATGAATTTCGGTATATTCGAAGGCCGGTATATGAACCAATACCTTACAGACTGTACAGACCTTACAGACTATTACAATCACACACACTGTAAGTTACAGTGTGTGTGATTGTAATATTATCAACGTGACACTAGTGAAATGGATAAATGGATTTGTTTTTGCGCATATGCGTATTTAACTGCATCGCTCTGTCACGTCTCAAACCTTCTGGGGGGAAATGATGGAACAAATTTTGTGCATGCAGGATCTGGGGATGGGATCGGCTGACGGCGGGGGGAGCAAACTCCACCCAGCAGATAGGATCTCGGGCAGGCGGAGCGGAGGGCAGCTTGTGCCGAAAGGGCTCGGGCTGGTTGGTCGGGACGCCTGACAAGTCCCGCAGAACAACTTCAGAGGAGCAAAGTCCAGCCGGAGTGTGAGGGAGGCAGAGTGGAAGTTAGAGTGTGTGTGTGTGTGTGTGTGTGTGTGTGTGTGTGTGTGTGTGTGTGTGTGAGAGAGAGAGAGAGAGAGAGAGAGAGAGAGAGAGAGAGAGAGAGAGAGAGAGAGAGAGAGAGCTGTACACAAAATCACATGTCATTTTAAAAGAAATGCTCCAAAGATGGCGGTGGTAATAGCGACGGGAGTTTCAGGTGCCTCCGGAGTGCAAAAAAGTGGATTTGTGGAGGTTTTGGTGCGGGAGCGGTGGCACAAAGTTTTGGTCAACTTAAACGAGGAAGCGCTCACGTTAAGCTGCGAGGAGAGCAGCGCTAACGACAACGTGAGCGACAGTGTCAACTCTAACGGCGTTACCAACGGATCTTACCTTGATAACAATAACACCAACTCCAACAACGCACCCCAAACTGTGCGCACCGCGTTCACGGACCTCCCGGAGCGAGTGCCCGAGGCGATCGCCAACAGAAAGCGGTGCGTCAAGGTGACCAAGCAGGAGATCGGGGGGCTTGGGATCAGCATCAAGGGAGGGAAGGAGAATAAAATGCCCATCCTCATCAGTAAGATATTCAAGGGACTCGCAGCGGACCAGACCCAGGCTCTGTACGTCGGGGACGCCATCCTGTCTGTGAACGCCATGAACCTGCGGGACGCGACCCACGACGAGGCTGTGCAGGCGCTGAAGCGGGCCGGCAAAGAGGTTGCACTGGAAGGTAGGCAGACTGGACTCTCTGTGTGTGAGAGGATGACAGGAACAAGGGGACCCAAAGGAGAAGGAGAGGATAGGTCAGAGAATCCCTAACTTTTTTCATGCCGCTTGCAACATCACACAAAATAAGATCTTATTGTAGGAAGCCCACACAATGAGTGTTTGTGCTTGTCTTTCAGTGAGGGACTGTACAGTATACCTGTGTGAGATCTCAAGTCAGCCAAGGTCATTCTGTGTTTCCAAGAGGTTTGTGAAATGCTGGTGAATTCCAGCCTAATATAGCCTCACTCAGAGACCCCTAAGGGAACTCTGGACCTTAACATGCATGGGAACCTCATCCTTCAGGGAGGGAAACATTTTGCAGTAGGGCTGAGAGTTTCTCATCCCACATGGCTCCCTATTTCCTAAACTGCTAATGAGCCGTTATATGCATATCATCCAGTAGGTCAGTGGTCCTCAGGACACAGAGTACCACACGGTTTCTATTCTACCTGCCAGTTGATTGCATTCATTCAGCGTCCCAGGCATAAATCACTCCCTGATTAGAGGAACAGAATGAAAAGCAGCAGGGCTCTGAGTGTTGACGTCTTGGGATGAACGCCTCTGCTGTAGGATGTGATTTATTTTCCATTACAGAAAGGAGGTTCTGGTTAATAATGAGAGCTAAGAAAGAAAAGGTGATGGTATTTTTATTGCACTATATTATTCATGTCTCACTTCATCAAATCTGTTTTGTGTCTCATTTACAAAGAGAGCCCTGGCGTCTCACCCAGGGTACAAAACTGAGGAGAAGTTTAACTTATTTTACCCTGCAAATTTATTCAATTTACAGCAGGAGTGGGGAAGACACTACTACTTAATTGTATTTACCTAGTGCAACTTTGCCGTCATGACAAACTTGGTTTATTCTGTAGTTGGGAAACTAGGTGACTGACTGGCTGCTCATAAGGACACTTCAGATTTTTAAGGAAACAGTTATTATGTAACCAGAGGTGTCATGAGAGACTCATGCAAGGTTAAACTTATATTACAAGCAAGGCCACTCAAACAAATCCAGCTCAATTTCCTCAAGCGTCAAACACACACACACACACACACACACACACACACACACACACACACACACACATATGTTTTTTCCCACACACTTACTTTCAACTGGCTCACACAAGCAGTACAGCCAAGTTGGTGTTTTGCAGTAGCCAAAAGTGAAGATGAAAATTAGGCTGATGGCAGGCAGATACCACTCTGAAGGATGGCCATTATTTTACCCCCTTATCCTGCAGACGTGCAAACACACACACACACACACGCACACACACACACACACACGTACGCAGGCGGGCACATATAAACACTCACTCACACACCGGAAAATGTTGCACACGAGTGCCCACTTCTGTTTTTTTTAATTCCCGTTCCTGTGAGGACTCTTGGACCCAAGATAGTAAGAACAAAGTGTCTCTCGCACTCCATCACTCCTGCACACACGCACACACACACATGCAAACACAGTGATGATCCATCCCAGGGGGGCACTGGGGCTATACTGCAGAGGGAAAAGCATGTCCCAGCTGAAAACTTACGAGATAAGAAAGAAGGAGAGGGGGGAATGTAGAGGAGATGGAGAAAGGGGGGAGGGAGGGAGAGAGAGAAGTGGGGAGGGGGTGGAGCTGAAATGTGAATTTAATGGGGAAAGTGCTGAGAGGGAGAGAGATAGAGAGAGACCGACCAGAAGGAGAGCTAACGAGGGAGGCTAAGAGGCTGATATAAAGATGACAGCGAGGGTTAACTTAAGGGTAACGGAGACAGAAGTTTGCCACAACTGCAATTTAGCAGAGATCATTTGCATTTGGTAAAGCAGTGAAAGAGTACAAAGTGACAAAGAGCATTTTCATTGGGTTTCATGGATCTTTGAGGGCGTGAAAGGTGCCTAACACATAACCAAGCATGTAAACTTTAATTTAAAATAATGAGCAGTGATACTTAAAGCATTAAAACGAGCGATACTTTCCCTTCTTTGAGTGTGAAGCCACCGTCTAAGATGAGAGAGAAGAAGACAGCGTTACATGAGGAAAGAGATCAGGAGGAAACATCTGATTCAACTGATAGGAGAGATGTCTGATGGGAGAGGAGTGTGTGGAGTGTGTGCCTGTGTTCAGCGCACTGCATTTTTGTGCATTTTGTGTGAGTGTGTGTATGCAAGAGAGCTTGTACATGCATGTTTGTAATTTGTGTACTTCATTGACAAGCCATCTTGGAAGCTCATTAGGAAGATGGAAAAGAAATTCAGCTAAAATAGGAAGCGACCACTCACTCCTGCCAGATGCAGGCTGGAAGAGGGCAGCAGATTGACCCAGTGGTTAAAAACTGCAACCATGAAGACCACAGTTCAAGCACACACCATGTCAGAGAGCATCCGCTTTGTTAAACTGTCACAGGCTCTCTGTGGCTCAGCATGCAGTCTTATACAAGCTAAAAGTGAATTTCCCCACATCAATTGGGGTTCTTCAACTGTGTCACAAAGCTCCTAGCAACCACATTGTGCAGGTCTAGTGAAGAATTTATTATGGACAATAATGCCTTCAATAACTTACTGCTGGAAAAAATAAATACTATAGTTAGAAGTTTGTATTTGGAGCATTGCCTAATCAGGTCACAAGTTTAATTATCCACTTACAGTAAGTCACAGCAATAAAAAGGCCACACTTTTTTGTTTGTTTGTTTGTTGTGTTTGGAAGATAAGCACCGGTGAAATTAATGCAATTATGATCGCTGGATTTAATTTATTCGGAGAATATTCCTTTTATTATTTACACCTTTTTAAAACTGTGATGTGTCAAAATGTGCTGGCTGAAAAGGGCCTGATGTTCAGGTGTGTGGAGGAGAGAAAGCACGCAAAGATTTGAACTTGAGTTTTCTTGTTTCGTTCTTCACACAAATATTTTATTTATTTTTTTTGTGTGTAAAACCGAGCGAGACAGACTGTCCACAAGATGTGAAACCCTTTATCTGCCAGTGGTAACTTCCGTGGTGCAGCAATGAGAGGACTTTTCAATCACACAAGGATAACTGCTTTTAAAGTTCAGTATGTTTTGTTTTCCTCCTACTGTTTTCATTTTGTTGTTGTTTTATGCAATGGAGATTGCAAACTCAATCCAACCATGGGGATTTTAAGTTTATTTTTCCCTCAGCATAACGAGCAATTTGGTTAAGATTAAAAGAGATCAGAACCATTCCTTCGGAGATTGTGTAGTTCAGTTCGCGTGTGTTAATTTAAAAAATGTAATAGTCTAACATGTAATTGCCAGATAGAGATATAGATGTTGACCTCACACAAGGAAAGGTCACATTATTTATTTAGACCATAATTTGTGTATTATGCTTACTGTACCTGTGTCATCATTCATTTAGTGGAATGTAATCTGAACAAAGCGTTCCCAAGGTTGTCTTGTTGCTAAGGGGATAAATTGATTTCTACTGACTTCAGAGTACCACAAGTTGTCTTAGTAACCAGTGCTGTTGAGAATACATAATATTTTTGAACATTTTCTTATTTATTTTTACAGTAGCCTGTAATGTTGTAGATACATGTATGGCTGTGGCTTAGAGGCAGAGCGGGTCGTACCCTAATCGGAAGGTTTGTGGTTTAATCCCCGGCTCTTCCTGTCACATGTGTGTGACAGTGTGTGAATGTGTGTGAATGTGTTAGTTTCCGTTCGATGGGCTTTGTCATCGCTGTGTGAATGTGTGTGAAAAGACGAATGTGTCACGTAGTGTAAAAGCGCTTTGAGTCGGAAGGCGCTATACAAGTACAGGTCCGTTTACCATTACCATGTATTGGCACAAGTCAAACCCAACCCTAGATTTGATGAAATTGACAATTTATCAGCATTTTTTTTTGTTCGTCCTAGGTTTCAGGCGGATGTAGACAAAAGCAGGCTCCTCGTTTCTAGCTAGCAACTGTTGATATTACTGGCTGAAATTACAGTTTTACTAGCTGTGGCTAGCTAGCTTATTATGTTAATGTTAACTCTATGCGTAGGTTGAAACCGCCGTCTCCGGCTGACTTTTTGTTACCAGCTGTCTTGTTGTAAAACGAGAACCCTGTAAAAGGGATCTTTTGCACATGATGGATACATTTGTGGCATCGTGCTAAAAGACAGAGGCTAAAGCTACATGTTCCAAGCAAAATGTTAGCATCTTCATCAGCTAAGGATCTACTGTAAATGTAGTTCGCTAATGAAAGCTCCTTGGCCTACGCTGGATAAGGTTAATACTACTGTAGGCACTAACCTAGTTAGCTGAACATGCTAATATTTTGTAGTTTACATTGGAGCAGACAAACACATCAATTCCTTACACTTTTGCTTTTGTGTTTTTGGCTTTAAAAAAAGCTAGCTGAAAGAGGCACAACCCTTTAAACTTTTAAATGCTGAGCAGTGCTTTTTCTACAAGCCCATCTCATACGGAGAAATCCAAAGCTACGGTTGCTAAGCTACGATACGATTAGACAGTCACTGTTCGCATGAGGTGTTTAGCTAACAGTGATTTGACGTCAGCTTCAGGACCCTATATTTAAGTAATGGAGATATTTTTGGTCGTAATGGATTGATATGATGGGAAATGGTCGGGGAAAAACACTCCAGGATGAAACTAGCAGTAGTTATACTCTTAAGAGAAATACACCAGGTGTGTTTCAGTGCAGGCACACAGCTTCAATCAGTATTTGTAAGTGTCAAGCCAAGTTCAAATAAGCCTATACATGAAAGCGGGAGAAATTAAGAACTAAAAGTCAGAACACAATAAAGAACATCTGCCACACTTCAGCAGGCAGGAAATGAGTCAGTGTCCTATAAGCTCTCCTGTTGATCCCTTAACAAGCTGTACCTGTCACCACCTGACATCTGGATGGGCTTATGTTAGTAATATAGTGCATTGTTTGTGTGTGTGTGTGTGTGTGTGTGTGTGTGTGTCTACTTATGGTTGCATGTGTGTGTGTCT